TTTTTTTTTTTTCTGGGCCAGCTTTAGCTCTGAGGCCTAGCTGCTGAAAACATCGATACAATGTTTAGCTTCTTATTTGCAACATAGTACATAGTTGCTTAGAGTTGCAACTGAGAGGCGGGCAAGTGAGGCGGAGAACGTTGGAGTGCGCAGCAAGCAAGCCTCATGCTGGCTTCAGTGCCTGGCTGCCGGCCGCCATCTTGGCTGACAGTTAATTTGCATATACTCACTGATTAGCCAATGAAAAGGGTAGCGGTCGTACGCTAATTACCATGTTTCTCTTTTATTAGTGTAGATTATTAATATTTACACCTTTTGTGTATTAGGTATTTATTACTAATTAAGTTAGTGTACAGAAATAAATGTCTCATTTACGTTTATCCAATTCTGGGTGTCCCTATCTCCCTATGGCTATAAAGAGTGTGAGATTCTGTAAGGACCTATGAGCCCACAGATTCTTTTCTACATTAGAGCAAGCCATTATCCTATATAATAAAAGGCTAATATGCAAATTGTCCCTATGGGTGGGAGTTCAACCAACCGGGAGTTAGACGTGCGCTGACCAACAGGGGGCGACACAGAACATGGCAGGCGTCAGCAACGTGGCGCTGGCAGCGGGTGGCAGTGAAGGTGCTACCAGCCCAATGGGTCCTGACAAAAGCAGGACCGTGGCGGGATGGGGGAGCAGGTGAGCGGGCAGTGCCAGGCCAAGGCGGGTGCGAAGGGAGGCCCCGGCTGGCAGCTGGCAGCCGCTAGGGACCCTACCCATGCACGAATTTTGTGCACTGGGCCTCTAGTCTATAATAAAAGTGTAATATGCTAATTAGACTAGACGACCTTCCAGACGAAGCCAGGACTGCGAGGGAAGCCCGGGTCCAGGGTGCCAGAGGGAAGCTGGTGCCGGCAGCCGGGGAAAGAAAGGCCTACTCTTGCATGAATTTCATGCATTAGGTCTCTAGTTTTATATAAGAGATAACATGTGGAGACACTTGGGTCTGAGGATGTGTATCTCATACTGTAGTCTATGCCAGTTACCCTGGTTAGAACACCCCAGGTTAGAATAAAGTGGAGGACTCAGTTAGATTCGAGGCTGGGTTTTAGGTACCTCTGTTCCTTGGCCACAAAAGGCTGCTCCACCCAGGGCAGTGTAGGCCAGTTTATGACTCTGTCCCTACCTTGGAGAGCACATGAGCTTCACCAAGCTAACTTTCATGTAAAACATAGGTTTTTATTGCTTGTGCCAGGAGAGACTTCAACCAAGCCAAGCTTCCTCATTTTTACAGCTGAAGAAATGAGGCCCTTACAGCATAAGCAACTTATCCAAAGTCATACTGCTAGTAAGAAGTAAAGCTGGGACTCAAACTCAGGTCTCTGGAGTACTAAGACAGTGCTTTTTAGAGCATACTTGACATTCACTTAATTTCCTGGTGTCCTGTCCGACTTTAGGTCAGCTGGGCCCTTAGTTCATCATTCGGGTCCTGATTCCATGCCCTGGGGAATCCTATCTGGGTAATCTGCATTCCTTCCCAGCTTTAATTCAGTTTTCTTCTCCATGGAGAATTCTTTCCTTCTTGTCCCTGGTTGAGATTAGAGATCTATTCCTGAAGCACTGGAGAATGTGTGGCAATTATATCATCCTCCAATTATCTGGAAATTATCCTAAATTAACATCCAAAAGACACACATTGCAGGGCGGGTGAGGTGGGGAAAAGATTGTGCACCTGTAGGCTAGCAAAGGGTTCTGCTGAGTGTTTAGAGATGATGCCACCTGTATGCTAGCATCTATGTATTGTGCTCACTCACTGAGTGCTACTGAGTGCAAGGCCATGTGGCAGGCACTGAGGTAACAGGAATGGCCACTGCAGAGTTCACAGCTACGAGGGCCAGCAAATTCACAGATGACTAATTCCATAGTGCAACTAGAAAATATACACAAGCAGTACGTGAGCACACAGGAAGGTGAATGTTGGTCTCCTTACAAGGGCCTATGAAAGCTTCACGAAAAAGGTGACAGTTGGGCTGCACCTTGAAGTAAGAGTCTGACAAGTGGAGAACAGGGACTTTCCAGAGGAACAGTATAAACACAGGCATGATGTATTTCCATGATGGCCAGAGGCCCTAAATGACTGGAATAGAGGATGAATCCAGGAAGAAAGGATTTAGGAGGGTGATGGGAAGGTAAGCCTATTAATGAAACTTGGGGTGAATGGGAGGAGTCCTGAACATCATACTGCTAAAGACGCTAGTCTTCATCCTGCAGGTAATGGGGAAGCCTCCTGAGGTTTGTTCTTTTGTTTCTACCTAAGGTTTTTAGAAAAGTGGAGTGACATGCTCAGATCTCTGTTTTGGATTAACCGGTATTTTAGAATAAGAGATAGACTAGGAAAAATAAGAGAGTAGAGGCAGAGAGACCAATTTGGAGGCACATGCAATGCTCCCAGTTAGAAATGATAGCCAGAATTAGAGCAGTGGAAAGAGGGAGAAAGGAATGGCTGAGACATTGGAGGCTAGAAACAACAGGCCCTAGTGAATGATTGAATATGGAGGGTGAGGGAGAAGCATCAATCCAGGAGTCAGAGCTTGAGAAGCTGTACTGCCAGCAGTGCTATCACCCAGAATTGGGAATGCAGGAAGAGGAACAGGTGCAGTGGGTGTCAGTTTGGATGCTCTGAGTTTGAGCTGCCTGTGGAAATTGCAGGTAGCAATGATATGTAATTAGCATTCTACATATGGAGCTCTGAACTAGACACACAAATTTGAGAGTTATCAGAGAACAACTCAAATTGAAGTGTGGTTTTCATAATTAAAGCTATTACCAATATATACATTAGGGTTTTGTGATTGTGTTTCTGCTGCTTGTATGTGTCCAAGTCAGAGTATCATCAATGAGTATATATGTTTATCTGTGCTGACAATGTAAAATGAGGATGATACTAGCTACCACGTGGGATTGTTATAAGGATTAAATGCATTTAGTCAGCATTACGGAAAGGGCGGTTGTTTTTATTACTACTACATGGAGTGGTGTGTATGTTTGAAGATTGCATGCATTAGCTTATAGCACGAGTATGAGTCCCACTCACCTGAGCAGCTTCTCTCCCCACTTACAGCGGCATCTGTTGAGAATTCCTGTGGAGGTGAGGGGGCAGGGAAAGGAATATGTGGCTGTCTAAGCTGAGACATGGGATCAGAGATTCCAGTGTTGGGGCAGGCTGGCCTGGGGGGTATTTCCCAGATACAGGACACAAAGGCAGCCAAAGTCAGCAGCTGGCCACAAGTCTGAGCCAGTATTACCTTACATGGGCTTAGGAGAAGGAACACTCAGCCAAAAAAAAATAGGCAGAGCAAGCATAGCTAGACTCACAAAGAGCCAAATACATATATGTAAACATTAGACACAACCCACTGATATATGCATAGTGAAACCAGGTGGATACTTGGGGCAATGTCCCCAGTACACCCTAAAGTCAGAAACAACTGATATTCAATGCAAATCAAATATGGGCAGTTTCATACTTACTAACTCTCTTCTATACAAAGAAACAACTGACAAAGACTCAATGCAAATCAAATATGGGCAGTTTCATAGTTCTAACTCTCCTCTATACAAAGGGCCTCCCAAGTCCCCAGACAGGTACACAGCTAGTACAGACATTCATACAAACCTAAGGAATAAACATGGAATTGGTAAAGTAAGAGATATGCTAATGACACTGGGTAACTACAGGGTAAGGGGAGGTGCCCAAGTTCAGGAAGGGTACAAAAAGGGTAAGAAAGTTGGATTGGAGTACAAGAGGCATCTGACAATGGGAATGAAGTGGGAAGAGAGGGCCTGGGACACATCTTTGGAGGAAGCTGCTTTTCTGGAAGGCTTTTGTAGTGTGGGATGAGGGATGGGGCACACATACCAAAGAGGCTGAGCCCCTCCTTCAGTCCACTGGCCACTTTGTACACTGAGGGGTGAGACTCACTCTTAAATATCTGCAGAACACTGTCAGGGAGAAATGGGGGAGTTCTGGGTAACTTGGATTTTTTTTTTAATCCTCACCCAAGTATATTTTTCCATTGATTTTCAGAGAGTGGAAAGACAAAAAAATATTGATGTGAGAGAAACACATCCATTGGTTGCCTCCTGCACGTGCCCCAACCAGGGCCCAGGCTAGGGAGGAGCCTGCAACGGAGGTACACGCCCTTGACTGGAATTAAACCCTTGACTGGAATTAAACCCGGGACCCTTTGGTCCTCGGGCCAACGTTCTATCCACTGAGCCAAACCAGCTAGGGCTGGATTTTTAAAGGGAATTGAGAAAATAGAAGGGGTTGAGAACATCCTGCTGAGATCAAGTCTTGATGTAAGTTTTGTGCTTCACTTCTCTCTGCCTCAGTTTCTCTCTTCAGAAAAGAAGAGTGACACCTTCATGCTTTTCTTCTTCTCTCCCACTAATTCCCACTTCTTCCTTCACGGAGGTTTATCCTAATAGCCCCAGGATTAAAAAAACTGGAGCCTCATTAGGATTATTAGAGCATTAAGCTTAATCCTTCTCCCTTCCCAGAGATGACAGCCTGCCTCCATCTCCTTACCTGTAAGTATCTTGATCTATGCTCACTAGATGGGTCCTGAGGGCAAAAAATAAGCAGAAGAGAAGGTGCTGGGGTATGAGGTTGGAGTTCTTTTCTCAGTTTCATCCCCTTTGCCCCACCTTCCAGAATACTGTCTCAGGCTTGTCCCCCGAGCTACACATCCCCTCAGGTGCTCCAGTGTGTCCTAGAGCACTTTACCTGATAGGACACTGCCCACCCCTGCATCACTACCTCCCACTCCACCCTGTTACTATTCAGACTTCCCATCTTACTTTGGCTGAGGTTAGGGTAAATCACCTACAGCACAAATTTCTTAAAGCCCAGGATGGGAACGCTGACGTTATAGTCTTCCAGTTCAACCCCGATTCTTCTTCGACCCAGGAACTTGAGCAGCCCTCCAAGTGCTCGAACCTGAGAGAGGATCAAGAGTGGAGCTGAGGGCCCGACCGGTGTGGCTTAGTGGTTGAGCAGTGACCCATGACCCAGGAGATCACTGGTGAGATTCCTGGTCAGGGCACATGCCTAGGTTGGGCTGGACCCCCAGTGAGGGGCATGAGGCAGCTGATCAATGATTCTCTATCTCTCTCCCTTTCTCTGAAATCAATTAAAAACTTTTTTTTTTAAAGGGTGGAGCTGGGGTAAATCCCAATGTCTTGAAGGCTGGATAATACCAGGGGAAGCTATTATTTTCCAGGGCTGGGCTAGAAACTCCCAGGACTCAACCCAAGGACTGGGGTGCTTTTGCCTTTCTCCAACCTGTGGCATCCCAGCCCTGACTTCCCAGGGCCCCTCTCACCATGAGAAGGCAGTCAAAGGGAATTATGGAGGAGAGGAAGAGAATTTTCTCAGTGGTGGTCATGGAGTCTGGGATAAAAGAGTAGTTTCCAGAAAGGAGGCGCTGTTTGCTTATCTCCAGACCTATTTTGGAAAGAGAAAGGTCTTGTGATCCAATTTTTCACTCTATTTTAAGAAAGAAAATAGAAGACAGATGATCTGATTTGCCAAGTTTACACAGGCGGTTAACGGAAAACTGAAACAAATTTTCAGATCCTTGGTCTAATTATCTCTATATATAAAATATAAAGATGTTTGGCTTGAGATCACAGCCTAAGAAATCTGTCTGAAATTGGGGGTTTTTGGTGAAAAAGATCATATAAGACTAATGTGTTAACATCTAATTAGGAGAGAACATTCCGTCTTTTTTGCAAATCAGGGAAGGTTATGGACATGCCTTAGGGATCATCAAGGTCATCGAGGCAAGTAGCTTCCCTCCCACCCGAACAAAAGCTTTGGCTTAAAGGGGGGAGAATTCCAATTCCAAATAGTGTCACCACTCTCTTCTCAGGGGCGGCCCGCATAGACACACCGAAGCGGAGGTTTCATAGCAGGTGCAGGTTATTGAAGGGTGGGGAGCAGGAGAGATCCTGAGGAGACTGGTCATGGCGCTTGGAGGACACAACGGTTCAGGTGAGATAGGGCCGAGGAGAGACCTCTGACGATGGGGTGGAATTAGGAGAAAGGGTTGGGAAACTGGGATGCGGAAATGAGCAACGCAAAAGGAGATACCGAAATCCACACTTGGCAGAAATACGATTTCAGGTCTCTTAGGCTCTCCGTGTTCCTGCGAGGCTGTGAGGGAGGCAAGGAAAGGGCCGTTAGCCTGTACATTTCAGTCTTTCTGCCTCTCCCTTCTCTCACCCTGACTCTACCTCCCTCCGAGACCCTTTCATCTCCTGTAATATCCCACACTTCAGTCCTTCCTCGTTTTCCTTCTCAGCCTCACCCAGTCCTTACCGAGCTTCCCCAGAAACCGGGTCATGTTCTCATCCTGTTTGGCACTGGTAACAACAGACCGGGGGCTGATTTCATCCAGGACTTGGAAGGAAACGCAGACCAAATGAGTGACAGGATCTGTATTTCCTAATTCCTCTCCTTGCTGTCTCCCTCCCCACCTCAGAAGCGCATTTCCTCTAAGAGCAGGGAGAGCCCACCAGCTGGGAGCCTCGTGGGGAGTCAGGCATGAGAGCTAGGAAGGGCGGGGTAGCAGACGGTGAGGTGGGGGGGGGGCCTGGAGTATGAACCCCAGAAGGCAGGCGTGACTGGTTTGCCAGGACTGTATCCCCGCCCCTGACACCTTGCAGACACCTCATAAATATCTGCTGAATCATGAAATGGAGTCTTAAAAACGACAGACCGTCCTCCGGACGTCAACGGATCACCCCGACCGAGGCCGAGGCCGGGAGCACTGCGGCCCGCCCACCTCTCTGCAGGAGCTGCAGGCTCTCGCGGTCCGGGGCGTCGGGCATGAAGTGCACGGCCGAGTCGCCGGTGTCGTAGTAGGCCAGGCCCAGGCAGCCGGCGCTCCACAGCA